TCCTGCGCCTGCCGCTGGGCCAATCACATAGGTGGTATCACATATCTGTTCTACCACCTAGTATGGGCCCTGCCAGGAAGCCTGCAGCTTGTCCTTGTGGACGGGCCGTAAGATTAGTACTTTTTGCCCCACCTGAAAGCTGCGGTCCCTGGCTCCCTTATCGTACCATCTGCGCTGTCGTTGTTGAGCTGCCTGGAGGTTGTCGCGTATGGTCTGGGTCAGAGCCTCCAGGGGTTCCCTAAACTCCAGCACATAGGGCATGATGGGTGTACCATTAATGGTCCCTTACCCCCCGAGTGTTCTCAGATTAAATCAAGGGGGCCCCTCACCCTCCTCCCGAACAGTAGTTCAAAAGGAGAGAACCCGGTGGATTCTTGGGGTACTTCCCTATAGGTGAATAATAAGTGGGGTAGATACCTCTCCCAGTCTTTCTGGGTGTCCATGAATGTGCGGATCATCTGTTTGAGTGTTCCGTTAAATCGTTCACAGAGCCCATTGGACTGTGGGTGATAGGCAGAGTTCAAGATCTGTTGCACCCCACATATCTTCCAAAGCTGGTATGTGACCTCGGCAGTAAATTGAGTGCCCCTATCTGAAATAATCTCCCAGGGAAATCCCACGTGGGAGAAGATTCGCATCACGGCATCTGCGTGCACATTCGTCAAGGCCACTGCCTCGGGGTATCTGGTGGCATAATCCACCACGGTCAAGACATATTTCTTGCCGGAGTGACTGGGTTTTGCTAGGGGTCCTATGATATCTACCGCCACCCTGCTGAAGGGTTCCTCAATTATGGGTAGGGAACAGAGCCGGGCTTGTATTAGTCTCCCCTCTTCCCTCCCCTCTGGCAGCTATCACAAGTCTGGCAATATCGTCTAACATCGTGTGAGATACCTGGCCAAAAGAAATTCTGGGTCAGCCTGTGCTTAGTGCGGCTGATTCCTAAGTGCCCTGACAGGGGGATATCATGGGCGATACGTAATAGTTCCAGTCTATATTTCCGAGGCACAATTAACTGTTTAATTGGTAGGGGTATAGATCCGGCCACGACTTTATCTGTGTGGCGGTACAGCAGCCCCTTGTCCCAGGTGTACCTTTCCCCTTCTAGCCCTGCCCAGTCTTTGTCTATCCGATCCTTGTATATCTGTAGGGAGGGATCTACGGCCACTTCAGAACCAAATTCTAGGGAGGTCGCCCAGGGCATGACAGCGGGGATGGGGGGTTCATTGCTTACCTGAGCCTCAGAGTGTTTCGCTGGGGCTGTGGTGCGGGCCTGCTGCCGGGTCACAACCGGGTATGCTTCCTGGACGGTGGGTTGAGGAATAAAAGCTGAGGTCAGCTCCCCCAGGTCGTTGCCCAAAATGACATCAGCAGGTAAATCCTGGATCATCTCCACCTCCACATTCCCATGCCCCAGTCCCCAGTCAGATTATTCTTAGGCACCAGATGATTCCGGACTAGCGTTAAGGTAGCCCCAGAGTCACACAGCCCTTGCACCTTCTTCCCCTAATTTTTGAAAAAAATTTTTATAACTTGTTCTTTATTATTTTCAAGTATTATGGGGTACAGAAGGCAAAAAGGGAGGGGGACAATAAGGAATTATGCATCCTGACACTGTTTGTAAGTAATACATACATTTTTACACATATTTCAGTGCTTTTGGGTTGGGGGCTGTAACACATTAGGGACCGTAAGTTGTGTGTGGGGGGGGTCCTTTGCGTGATTTAAACGGTCAGTGTTTAACATGTCTGTTAATATTGGGGGGCCTGAGAACTGTCTTGTACTTGTGTTCTGTCCGTGGCTCCGTTTGGAGGTCTTGTTACTCAGTATCTGTTGTTGAGTGTTTCTCTTCATCAGTTCAAGCAGGTTTTGCAAGATGGCTGTGGTCGTGGGATGATCTGTGGCTAGTAGCTGAGATATGTAGCTCTGCCAGGACATCCTTGTCTAGGGTGTGGGTTCACCTCATGTAGTGCCCCCAAAGGTTCTTCCATGGGAGTAACAGTCTCGGGAGCTCCGTACTGTTCTGCTTGTACACAGTGCACGGCTGCTCGGTTGCTAGGTGTTGCATTGTTCCAGCTTAGCCTGGGTCGGTTGCGGGGGCAGTCTCGCTGGATATGCCCCTGCTGGTTGCAGGTGTGGCAGTGAATCGGAGGACGAGTGGGGTACCTGGGGGTGTAGGTATTTTGGCTTACCTCTGGTCGTGGCTGGATGGTGGAGGTCACAGCTGGTAATGGTGTGGTAGGCGTGTAGGCTGGACGGTTTTGGGTGCGTTGGTCCCTCCGGGTATCTTGGAACTCATCTGCCAGCTTGGAGGCCTCTTGCAGGGTGTGTGGTTTTCGGTTCCGTACCCAATTTTGTAGATGTGAAGGTATCCCGTCGAAGAACTGCTCCATGACCATTAGCTGGAACAGGCCCTCAAGCGTGTTAACTTGGGTGGCTTCTAACCACCCCTTTGCGGCTCGCTGCAGGCAGTGTGCCCACTCTACGTGGGTGTCTTTACTCGGTTTCTTAATGTCCCGAAATTTGAGTCGGTATGCCTCTGAAGTAATCGCATACCGGGCTAAAATGGCTTGTTTTACTTTACCATAGTCTCTACTGTCCTCATCCGGCACAGCTCGGTATGCCTCTGCTGCGCGACCGGATAATTTCCCTGCTAGTAGCGATCCGCCTTGCTGATGTCGTGTAGTTGGCACAACCTCTCGAAGTCTTGCAGGTAGTCATCTACATCACCGTCAGCTTCTGTATAGCTCTTAAACGCTTGGTAGAGAATTTTGGCTTTCCCTGGAGTCTTGCTGACAGGCGTTGTGGCCCTTTCCCTGGCCCGCTGATTTGCTTGGAGTCTGACCACTATGTACACCTGTACGTCCGCCATCAGTCGGGATAGTATCTCCACAGGGTGGGTCTCTGGATAAAAGGCGAGCCTGCTCCTCTTCTCCTTGTTAAATTAATTTTGGTCTATTTCCTGTGGAGCTGCTGCAGTGGTTTCTCTGTCTCCCTCCATGAGTTCTTCCACAAGGGTTGCCTTAGTTTTATTGCTGGTGCTTTTTCCCCTTGCTTCCAATAATTATTTTAGTTTAGTTTGTTTCAATGTTGCATTATTCACCTCCATTCACCAGTTGTTCGTTTATTTTGACATATCTACCGAACACTGGTTTTAATCCGAATGGGTTGTTCCACCGAACTGCTGCTTCTCTTCTTTATTCGTGTGGTTACTGCCGAACGCTGGGTAACAGGAACAGCATAAAATCCTTCAAGCAAAATAAGTACAGAATGCAATAATCCCGGAAGCGTTGTATAAATCCTTCCTTCCCAAGAACTAGACGACACATAGGCTGGGAGTCAACTGAGCTTTTAATCACAGGTCACAGTATTTATGGGATTCCCCAGGCAAGGGGTTTCCCTACTGACATTACAGGGGTTGTACAGTAGGGGACTACATGGGGTACTTAACCCCTTAAGGACACAACTTCTGGAATGAAAGGGAATCATGACGGAATATTTCCGTCATGTGTCCTTAAGGGGTTAACAACCGGACATTTCTCCCATTTTACCGAATGACCGTTCGGTAGATAGCTGGGGTCTGAGCACACCTTGAATATTCAATTTGTGCATCAGCAGCAGGGCTGGACTGGCCCACCGGGATAGTGGGAAATTTCCTGCTTGGCCGTAGCACCTACAACAGGAATTGTCGACGCGCTGTCTGGAGAAAATCCAAAGAAACGCTTTGAACTGACAGCAAATTTAAGTTATGGTAGTCATTTTAGATAAGCCAAATGACGTCAAAATCGTCATCAGGAAAAGTTAACTCTTTCCTGGATAGGAAAGTTTAATGAGACAATTACGCTCTCTATTGACCAAAAACTATATAATACTAGATAACGTTGACACACTTACAGTTTCCTATTGGCCTTATCAACTAATGACGTACAGAGAGTCTGGCCCTTTAAAGGTTAGGACAAAGGGAAGAGAGAGGGTAGTTTGGGCATTCAGATTCGGACATTCAGAGAGATCCAGGACAGATATTCAGGACACTCAACACTCAACTCTCAAATTCTCTTGGACACAACTCAAGAAACACTCCTTGACACTTAGAATTTTACTATTACTTTCTAACCAACATCACTTTTCTCTATTACTTACACACCTCCATACAACCAATCATACTCGCATTCAAGTCCCTGGGACTACCTACTCATCTGATGAGAACATCTACATAACTGGTAATTATGCTGGTTTTATTTAATTAATTTAAATTAATTAAAAATTTACTAATAGCATGATATATGACTGGATAAATCACAGTCAGATTTCAATAATTGAGAAATCTTAGTTAACTAAAGAATATGTAGTAATAAAACTCCATTCTGCAGGTGGAGTCAGATAATTGAAACCAAAACAATGAGCAAGCGCTGAGTAACACAACTGAGCAGCAACCCTATAAGGGAATCCCTCAAAAACCCTTAGAATAAAACACAGAGAATACAGAGAAAGGGCTGCGCTTAAAAAATACTTAAAAAGTGTTAAGAGTCCAGATAAAAATGGATGAATAAAAAAAAAGGGGAAGAAGATCTTATCTGGCAATGTCCGTAGTATTTGATCCGGAACAGTAATCTTGTTTTCTATCTTCCTTATGGGCCGTCTCGTATGTAAGAGGGCGAGGAAAATCGGCGTCAGCACGCACATGGTGCGGCTGACGTCGAATGGCGGGGCGGGCATCCTGATGACGGCGGCACGCACTCGGCAGTGGCCGCCGTCATCAGGAAGTAGGAAGACGACGGCTAGCACAATGCTGCAGCCGTCGTCATGGAAACACAGAAGTGGGCGGGCTATGACCGGCTGAAAAATAAATAAGTGAAAAGAAATAATAAAAAATAATAAAAAATAAATAAAAAGAAGAAAGAAAGGGAGAATAAAAAAGAGTGGAAACATAGGGATAATCAATAGAAATAAATATAATAAAAATCTATAGGATAAAAATTAGCACCATGCCTACCCCACTGAATAATGGGAGCAGGCAGGTAGCTAAAAAAAACAGAGCAATAGTAAAAGGATAAGTAAATGAATGAACAGAATTCTACATTCATTTACTTATCCTTTTACTATTGCTCTGTTTTTTTTAGCTACCTGCCTGCTCCCATTATTCAGTGGGGTAGGCATGGTGCTAATTTTTATCCTATAGATTTTTATTATATTTATTTCTATTGATTATCCCTATGTTTCCACTCTTTTTTATTCTCCCTTTCTTTCTTCTTTTTATTTATTTTTTATTATTTTTTATTATTTCTTTTCACTTATTTATTTTTCAGCCGGTCATAGCCCGCCCACTTCTGTGTTTCCATGACGACGGCTGCAGCATTGTTCTAGCCGTCGTCTTCCTACTTCCTGATGACGGCGGCCACTGCCGAGTGCGTGCCGCCGTCATCAGGATGCCCGCCCCGCCATTCGACGTCAGCCGCACCATGTGCGTGCTGACGCCGATTTTCCTCGCCCACTGGCGTCTGGCCGCACCTTCTATGCGTACAGACGCCAGTTGCCAGTCCCCCTATATGACGCCGGCGGCTGCGCAGTGCCGGCCGGCGTCATACTACATATCCCATCACCCACTTCGGTTCTAATGCCGGTCATGTGACCGAGCATCATATAATACATTTTATCAAATAAGGATCGTTTTTAATGTTCAATCACATATCTTGAATATTTATCCCTAAGTCTACACTTATGTACTTCCATTTCATTATTTTAATTTTGTCCTATTATATGCCGGTCATGTGACCGTGCACTACATAATATATTTTATCAAATAAGGATCTTTTTTAATGTTCAACCATATATCTAGAATATTTATTCCTATGTCTATATGTATGTACCTCTTTTTTATTGTTTTAATTGTGTTTTATTATATGTATTTTCAACTTGCAATCTGATTGGCTGTCCTAATTTTGGCGCCATTTTTGAATTGTTTGTACATGCTATTTAAATGATCCACTGCCAGGTATCAGGTTCTTTACCCATATTGATAACGCCGATTGGCGAAACGCGTTTATGGTTTTTTTATATTGTGTATTATTATAATTAAAGTATATTTGGTAACCTTTTATTGTACCACCTATCCTTTTATACACATATATTTATTCTCATTACCTGGCACCATTCGTTGGACTCCAAGCAATCCTAGGTGGGGATTATTCCACCAGCGTGATATATCAGGAGCAGTTGACCTGCTCCTGTCTTGTGAGTATCCACTTTTATTTAATTTTATATTTTATTCCAAGTTTTACGCAGAGAGCACTATTAGTTGTCTCTTTTTATCTGAGTATCTCCCACACCACGGAAGGAGGAGGTACGTGAAGGACAAGCATTCTATATCCCACAAGCGGGGATCTAAACCGCTGTACGCCCGTTACACCAGAGCAGGTTCTAGCTCTTGGAAATGTGAGTTTACATTCAAGTTTTATATTTTAATTTCCGTTTTATCAAGATATATTACACCATTTGGGTTCTGTATTTGTTTTCATCTCTTACATACGAGACGGCCCATAAGGAAGATAGAAAACAAGATTACTGTTCCGGATCAAATACTACGGACATTGCCAGATAAGATCTTCTTCCCCTTTTTTTTTATTCATCCATTTTTATCTGGACTCTTAACACTTTTTAAGTATTTTTTAAGCGCAGCCCTTTCTCTGTATTCTCGGAGTCAGATAATTACATAGTACTGATATCGTGTTAGCTGTCACGTATTCATCTGCTTATAGAAATGTGGTTAATGACATTCACTGTCCACACAGGAAAAGTTGTGCTGAGCAGCAACCTAATCCACAGAAGGGTTAATGCTGAGCAGCAATTCTGCAAATGAAACCTGGTAACTGACTTTGAGGTCAAAGGTCGGTTACAGCCTATCAGAACTAAAGGAGGGGTATTTAGGCCCAGTTCTCAGCCTGCTCAGTGCCCTGTCGTGGTTTCCCTTGTGGTTGTCCGAGAGTGCGTTCCTGTTTATAGTTTTCTACCTGGTTTTTGACTTTGGCTTTGTTTATTGACTTCTCTATATTCTGGTATCCTGACTCCTGGCTTTCCTCATCGCTGTGTCCCTTTCTGTGTTCCCTGACCTCGCTAGTATTTTTGACTATTCTTTGTACGTTAAATCCGGCCATTCTAAGGACCGGTAATACGTTACTTATTTGTCATCCGTGCTGTACAGTTCTACGTGCTGGATCAAACAGTAATCCTGACAGTTACACCCAATAGTGTTACTTTACCAAAAGGAACATTATTAGGTCTAGCATTGGATGCTGAGTACTATACATTTGGTTTCCAAAACCAAATTATAGGCCTCATCCCTGAAGAATACTTAACTGAGGACGAAATTGTTGATCAAATATTCCATTTCTCCCAAGAAGGATTATTCACTATCCTATCTGTATATCCCTTCAACGTCGAAGAAGGCTCGTGTATAATCGAAGAAGCATCAATCACCTTCGATCATCCGTTCAATGAGCAGAAATCACAAGAGTATCACAACGACAAAAAGGTAAGTCAACATCGAACTGACCTAACTTCTAGGCTTGAAGAAGCTTATGAGATAGGCCAGCCTAAAATCTTTCCAGGATTTCAGGAAAGGCTAGAAGAGCAAATATCTTTAGCTGACGGTTGCTCCAACGATGCTGAGCGGTAACAGCTAAGGAAATCCTAATGGAATTCCAAGATATTTTTGCCAAAGATTCCTACGACTGTGAGTTAACTAACCTCCACATAGCCAGAATACAAACTGATCCAAATTTACCACCTGTATTTATCAAACAATATAGACTCCCTTTAGCGTCATATGATGGTCTACAAGACATCATTCAGAATTTAAAGGAAAGGGGCATTATACATCCGGTGCACAGTTCGTATAATAATCCGATCTTGGGGATTCTGAAACCTAATGGACAATGACGTTTATGCGCTGACTTACGGCAGCTAAATAAACGCGTCTATATGTCTGGTTGGCCAGTGCCATACATAGACCAATGTTTGGTACAAATGCAGGGATCCAAAATATTCACTGCCATTGACTGTGCGCAGGGATATTGGACTGTACCAGTCCATGATGAAGACCAATACAAATTGGCCTTCACATTTGGAAAGCAGCAGTATACCTGGACCCGTATGCCCTTCGGTTACATAAACTCTGGTCATGAATTCGCTGTGTTCATGCATAAAGCTATGCCTGACGCACTCGAGAGAGGAACGTTATCATATGTCGACGATGTCTTGCTGAAAAGCACTTCCTTTGATAAGCATATCATAGAGATTAGACATGTTCTCACTCAGTTAAGAGAGGCAGGGATTAAACTATCTTTACAAAAGGTACAATGGTGTCGCACCCATGTCAATTTTCTCAAACATGAGGTAACTTCTGAAGGATTAAATCCCCAGAGGAAGAAGGTTGAAGCTGTAATTAAGGCTAAAACACCTTCAAACATCAGGGAATTAAGATCGTTCCTTGGTATGACTAACTACTCCCGTAAGTTTATAGATAACTATGCAGAAATAACTAAACCACTCTTACACCTGCTTAAAAAGGAAACTACCTGGAACTGGGGGGAGCCTCAGGACCAATTGGTAAGTGGACTGAGGAGGAAGCTCACTCAGGCACCCTGTTTAGCATACTGGAGGGGGGTAAACACTTCTATCTGGAGACAGGATATACCGATTTAAAGGCACCCAGACCACTTCAGCTTAATGAAGTGGTCTGGGTGCCAGGTCCAGATAGGACCTTTTTTCTGTAAACATAGAAGTTTCAGAGAAACTGCTATGTTTACCTATGGGTTAATCCAGCCTCTAGTGGCTGTCTCGTGGACAGGCGTTAGAGGGCTTCTGCGCTTCTCACTGTGATTTTCACAGTGAGAAGACGCTTGCGTCCATAGGAAAACATTGTGAATGCTTTCCTATGGACTGGCTGAATGGGCGCGCAGCTCCTGCCGCACATGCGCATTCAGCCGAAGAGGAGGAGAGGAGGCGGAGAGGAGGAGGAGAGCTCCCCGCCCGGCGCTGGAGAAAGAGGTACGTTTAACCCCTTCCTCTCCCCAGAGCCCGGCGGGAGGGGGACCCTGAGGGTGGGGGCACCCTCAGGGCACTATAGTGCTAGGAAAACGAGTATGTTTTGCTGGCACTACAATGGTCCTTTAAGCATAAGTGCTGTTCTGTATTAGAAGCAGGACAGTTTAAACAAAGTTATTGCATATGCTAGCAAGACTTTGTTACCTGTTGAAGTTAAATTCAACACGTGTGAGAAGGCGTTATTGTCGACTGTCTGGGCACTACAAAATTTTCGTAGCTATATCCAAGGTTTCTAATTGTAGAAACAGCTCACGAACCTCAACAGTATCTGCAGAGTGAAAGAGTCAGAGACTGTAATCTCTCTAACAGTCGGATTACTGCATGGACTCTATCCTTACAGGGAGGGCCGTTAGAAGTCCATTATAAACATAATAAGAGAAGCCCAGTTGCCCATGGTTTAGCAGAATTACATGACTGTACTGATAATGACACCGGAGATGACTTCCTAGAAGAGCAATTGCTATCCCCTTATAAAGTTTATGACGAGGAATACTGTCGACCACTACCGTGGGTATACATTGATGGTTGTTCATATCACCACGCCGCTGGTGCTGAACGAAAGTTAGTTGCAGGTATCGCAATCACCTGGACAGGTGATTATCCCAATGTATCTATAGGATACAATATTGGTTCCAAAAGCAGTCAGATAGCCGAACTCTGTGCAGTATATAAGACCATTCAAATGGCAATAGAATATGGTATCAAAGAATTAGTTATCATAACTGATTCCAGTTATGTTCGCAACAGTTTCGTCAAATATCTGCCTAGCTGGAAACGTAACCAAATGCTGAAAAGCAATAACAAACCTGTTAAACATGGGAAATTGTTTTGTAAAATCGTTGAACTGGTTAAGGAAAATGGTTTAGGCATATATTGGAAGAAAACCAAAGGCCATTCTAAAATAGAAGGTATCGACAAGGACGGTAATGACTTAGCCGATTCACTGGCAAAACAAGCAGCCATCAATGGTGAAACCCTAAACATTGATGATCGTATGGGTTCTAATCATGTTGAAGCCATAACTAGACGACAGGCTAGATA